AGAAGAAGGGGAGAAAAGGACGATAGATGTTCCATAGGAAAGAAGAAGCAAACCATACTAGAGCACCCGCCAACCATCCACATACGAAATCAGGGAAACCTTTTGTCTTCTCAATAAGTATACACAGGGCCATAATATAAAGATATCTAATAATCATCCTTGGCAGCAAAAAGCAGATAGTGTTGTCTTTGCTACTGAAGTCTGACACCCTGCCTCCAACATATAATGTGTGCCATCTTGAGGAAATATTCTGAAAAATATTCTCTGAGCAAGATGATCTATCGTAAAATATTCAACACTCAAGACTGGTTTAAAAAATGGATTTTTGCTCAGAACCCGTTTTGTGATAAAACTCATTTGTGACGAAACTCATTTGAAATGAGAATAATCGAAATATTTATCAATTTATAAATTTTTCAAAAATCAGAAATCAACAAATTTTGCGATCTCACCTAAAGGATCTTGTTTGCCATTGGCATCTGGAATGGTGAAAACACCGACAATTTCATGGCCATTTCTGCGAAGAAGTCTGAACACTTCTGCCCCAAAGACACTCTGTCCAATCACTGCGATCTTCATGGCCAGGCCTCGATCCTGTCAGAACAAAAAAGACAATACTCACTGTAAGGTCATCAACAAGAGTGACTAGTGTAGCAATGTACAAAGCCAATATAAAGTAAAACAGAATACGCAAAACCGGTTTTTCACTGTACAAATTAACAACCTCAGTTCATTTGCATTGAATCTCATTACAAAAAAATACATTTGAAACAGCTGTTTAAAATTACACTACCTCACGGGGACATCTGTTGAGCCCAACAATAAGAGAATAATAGCAAAAGAATAATTTAATACCAGCTCTGCTTATTCTGGGACAGTTAGTTATCAAACTCCTGCATTGTCATCCTGAGTGCTTATTAATTTGTTTGTGCAGGCAGCATGTGTTCGTAACTGTGTGCATTGCAAATTACCAAATTCTGATATTGTCTCAATTAATGCTTTCCTCTTTTTATATAATCTGAATGACCCTGAAGGTACTCCATTTCTTTCTCAACTACTTTCCATTCTGCATGGTGGTAGTCTACTACTCCGCACCAAGCAAGACATACACACATAATACAGATAATAAACATCTACAATGTAGATGTGGAGACAGATAAGATGAAGAGCTGAGATTCTAAGCTACAACTTGTTGACCTACTAACATCATCTGCAAACTGCCGTGAACATTAAACACCTGATCAAAACATAGTGAAAAAATTACTTTTTATCTTACAAAAAAGCAAACACAGCATTAAATGTCAACTGCCTGACAGGAAGAAGAAAAAACAAAGCCTGGATTATTCAAGTAAAGGATAACAGATTTCTAACCAAAAAAAAAGAAAATCCTTCCCAACCCAGAACATATGGCGACTGAATAGCCAGCTTTCTTCTGACTCAGCAAGTTAGAAGCCTCACATTTATAATTTTGCAAGAAGGCATGTTATAACAAAGGAGCGAAGCGGAAAAGACAGAGCAGACCACATCAGGTCACCCACCTATCACCCACAGCAAAAAGGAAACTGATCAGTGTTTCAAAAGTAATTTTACGCTAGCTTTCAAGTTAACATCTTCTTGTTGACTTTCCAAAAACAAATAATTTAAAGACAACAATACTTTCAATAGTGATTTTTTAGGGAGAAAGGCGGGGGGGGGGGGTAGGAATTGGGCCTCAATTACCACAAGGAGTCTGGTTCAAATAATTAATATGGTATAACAGAAAAAGGATATGGGGTATAGGTGTCTTCTTAACATAAATATGTATAAAAGACTTTAATTTCTTTTTTTATTTATTCAAAACATCGGCATTATAAGACCAGAAAAAAATCAATAAAACACAATATAAACAGAAAAAAGTAGGAGAAATAATTGACTATCTAGTTATATGATTATTAACAAAGGCTAATTTCACATAACTGTTGAATAAAAACATGTGAAGAGCACAAATTCCCGCTCTGCAACAAGCTCTTCGCGTTTTGCAATCTTTACAATCTAAACAACACGGGGTCGGTCGCAGCAAGCCGTATGATGAAACACGACCTCGACGGTAAAGCCTCTCTGACTTTACAGCGCTAGCGGAGGTGTGTCGTCCGTCCCCTCAAGATAACTGAACGTAGGAGACTTTTCAATGTAACAGCTGTGTCGTTTTTCATGGTTTCGTGACATTTTTTGTAACCACCAAAACAGACCTACTCCTCCACCCACGCAACACGGGCTCATCGAGGACACATAGGGAAAACACACGAGCGGGTGCGCACATACACACAAAGACACAGACAATATCTTATGGTAATATTCATCCACACATCCACAAAGAGGAGAGGCGGTGCACAGTGCACAACGCAACATACGCGCACATATATACGAAGACACATAAAAAAAAAAAAAATTATTGTTATACATAAACACATCCACAAAGATGAGAGGCGGTGCGCAAAATACACACACACACACACACACA